CCCCATGACGCCGATCAGCGAGTCCCCTGTATGGGTTTCCCAGGGCTGCTGAGACAAAGTGCCACAAGTCACAAACGAGGTGGCTTAAGACAACACCAACTCATTCTCTGCGAGTTCCGGAGGCCAGAGGCCCAAAAATAAGGTGTCAGCAGGGTCTGTTCTTTCCGAGGATGCGAGGGAAGTTCTGGTCCATCCTCTCACCCAGTTTCCACCATTGCGTGGCTGCATCACTCCGCGTCTGTCCTCACACGGCGCCCTCCCCGCTTCTCTGCGTCTTCCCACGGCTGCCGTCGCATGAACCGGGTCTTACTGGCTTACGGCCCACCCTGCTCCTGTGTGACTCCACCCTCACTAATCCATCTGCAATGACCCTACTTCCAAGTAAGGTCCCGTTGGGAGGCACTAGGAGTTAGGGCTTTGCCCTGTCTGCTCTGGGGTACACAATTCATCCCACAACAGTCTCTCTATAAGGCCTTCCCACAGAGCACTTCAACGATTACTCATCAAATTATCTTGTAACACTTGAGAAAATATGCTTAGAAACTGGTGGGTTTTTTTTAAATTTTCTAATATTGTTCTCATGTAGCAAGTTTTCAGCTGCTTGTACCTTGAAAAATGAAAAACAACACAGCAAACCTACACAGCAGCCGTGTTAGGCAAGGCAGCTATGCCAAGCGCTGATGTGGTTATTAAGTCAAAGTCGGTAATTTCATTGTTAAATGCTGATCAACAGCCTCTTTCATGGCCTCTGAAGAAATCTGGAGTATTGGAGTAAGAGAGAGTGTCCTGGGAACTGGCTGAGAGGTTTTTGTGGTCATGGGGACTTTGCCTGTTACTCTCACTAACTCAACAGCGTGCTCAGTCTCGCTGAATTGAAAATGGCCCCTGCAAGCATTTACCCACACACCGCGATTTCCATGTGAATGAACGTGGCTTTTCCCCAAACCAGTTCTTGTCAAGAAAAATAGATTTTTCTTTCCTCGTCCAAAACAGAGGGCAAATTTTTAATCTATAAATTGTCATTTATGTAAGATTTGGGCAAGATATTTCACATTGGTTTTCCTGAATAACACCACCAAGTCCTAACTACCGCGCTGTAATGCGTTAATCATGTAATTTTTCTGTCTCTGCCTCCTCGGAGAGAGGGCTGTGTTTTTGAGCCATGTGCAGATGGCATAGAAGTCCTCATAAATTCAAAACACAGATGCCTGCCCATCTGAAAAACTGTCCCAGGAAAGTTACAGACACTTTGGGAGCCAAAACCCCACAGTACGGCCCATCGTAAATGAATATGAAACGGTTTTTCCAAGGCATTACTTGATCGCTTTCTCATAATTCGCATGCACTTGTGTAAGAAGATGGATTAAAATAGCACCTCCAGAGTCAGCTTCTAGGAAAGACGGCCATCACTTTGCACGTTATTAAGAAACACAGAATCTTGCTGTGAAAAATCGCATGTATTTAGGAATTGCTACTTCAATTCCTTCATTTACTTCATTTGGACATGGTATAAAAGTCATTTTCTTCTCTCCCGATGGGTGGTTTTACTAATTTATCTCATTCGGGTGGATCCAAACCTCCCTTGAGCTGGTTCTCAGTTCTCAAATTCTAGCACTTGTGGAAAATCTAATCAACGAGGAAGAGCAGTCTAGTTGCAGGAACAGGAAGGACAAAAGTTTTTCGAACCAGACATTTTCTTAAGTTGCTACCCATTAAAGTTGAGGCAACTCCGCCTTCTTGCAAGGAACAAAGTCCAGGTTCCTCTGAAGATGGCGCTTCATGTTCCAACGAAACCCTAGGAAACAAAACCACGAGCTGTCCCATACCGCGTCAGGGGCTCCCGGGGCAGACATGCTGTGACGCCCTGTCGGTCCCGAAGGGCTCTGAATCTGCTCCTGCCACAGGGCAGCCGAAAGCTGAAACAAGGCCTGTGGCCGAACCCCCAACTCTTCCCCCAGACAGGAGGGCCCAGGGGGCTTTGGGTAAAGAAACTTCCAAGGGGCAGGGCCTGTGCCCCGCCTCCCCGGGCCTGACACTTCCTCCAGCAGTGGGGGGGGGCGGGGGGGGGGGGGCGCGTGGCTGGGAAGCGGGCAAGGAGTCATATATGTGTCCAGGGGAAAGCTCTTCGTCCCAGGGGCCGAGGGACACTGGATGGTCCCTCTCTCTAAAAGCAATGGGAAAAAAAATGTCCTCAGATAAAGATTAAAAAAAGAAAATGTAGCCCACAGACCACAGAGGACAGAGACAACATGGACCTTTATAAGGAAAAACCCCCTCGCCTTTCAGATCTGGAGCTCGTCCAAGGGGCACAGCTACTCGCGGGGTTTTCGCAGCTGCCCCTGGCAATTTCTCGCGTCACTTTACAGCCCTGGGGTTTCCGGAGCCTCTTCGGGGGCAAACCAGAGCATTCTGCTGGTCCTCCTACAGGAGCTCATCCACCCTCCGGAAAATTGAACTGTCTTTATTTTCAGCAGCGCCACCTCATCATGGCTCCATTAACCTTTCAAAGGACTCACAGACTCGAAGTCCACTTGCCACCGTGATTCAACTTCACATCGTCCCTCGGAAAAGCTGGGGGGAGGATGTCTCCAGTCAAGTGAGTTTAGAAAATGCCACGCAGGAGACTTTTCGGGGAGATCCGCGGAGCACTTTCACACGTTGGGAGCAATGGGAAGCCCTACAGTTACCAGCCTTTCTCGGACCTGCTTGTCCTCCACACAAGACAACTGGCAACACAGCGCCCTAAGAAGCAGTCGCCAGGAAACACTGCCCCAAACCCTGCTGGGGCATGACACTGAGCCCTGCCCTGCCCACCCCAGACTGTGCTTGGGGGCTCTGTGGACCCAAATGCAAGACCCGGCATTGAGTCCTGAAGTGCATCGTCCGGGCACATCAGCCCCACCCACCCAGCCCGACAAAGCCTTCGTGGAACTTGATTCCTGGAACCCTATTTGTCTTGGACGCGCCTCTCTCCAGCCAGTGCTTCCACAAGCGCGCACACGGCTGCAGAAGAAGGGGATCCCCCAGGGGGAGGCAGCCCCCAGCACGGCCATGGGCCCCCCACACACTGCCCCTCCTGGGAGGCCACGCCGGGCGAGGCCCTTCCAGAGCATCAGAGATGAGTTTTATGTGGTTTCCAAGGCAATTAATTCATTTGAAGTTGTTTTTCCATCAAATGGCTCCAAAGTGAAAAGTGGTTGCTGGGAAGTTGAATTACGACCTAACGCCAGTAGCAGCCACCAGTAGCAGCCAGCGGTGACTCCCGGGGAGGGGGTGGGGGCTGGTGTCTGGGGGCCGGGGCTCATTAACAGCCACTTCTTAAATTAGCAGATCCTCCCAGCGCATGTTTAAAAATAGCAGCCTAATGGTTTCTAAAATTAGCAGTCATTGCCCTCCATAAATATTTAGATCTCCAATAAACTTCTGGTCCACTTCCCTGGACTAATGGGGTCAAGCAGGCTTAGCTTTCACACCACGTTCTTTAGGATCTATATACTTAACGGAGGTTGACCTTGACAAGCAAGGGCTGAGCTTGCCCTCAGAGCATCCTGGACCAGGGACAGCCTGGGGGGCCGTGGGCCAGCAGGCGGGCTCAGGCGGGCCTGGAAGGGTCTCAGAAGCCATTTGGAGAAGTCCACAGCCTCCCAGCTGCCCGGAGGAGCCAACCGCCCTGACTTGCCTGGGACTGTCCTGATTTCAACCCTAAAAGTCCCCTGTCCCGCGCAAACTCTCAGTCCCCAGCCAAGCAGGACAGCTCGTCACCTGGCCCCTGAGCCACTGCCACACACAGGCCCAGCGCAGAGATGCCTTTGGTGGGGAGAGAACACGGACGGTCCCCACTCGGGCTTCGCGCTGACTTCAGTCCTGTTGAGTTGAGGAGACGGCTTGCGAAGGAGCAAATAAACCACGGAAAGGACCAGCCGGGCCAGGCCTAGGATGCCCATCCCCCACAGCCGGTTGCCCTGCACGTGAAACACTGGGTTACTGACTGCGGGGACTGTGGCTGGGCTGTGCTGGGGGCCCCCGGCAGGGAGGAGAGAGGAGCTCAAGGTGTCCCGTTGGGTATTTCAGCTCTTACTCCCGCCCGGCCTCCCTCCCTCCCTCCCGAGACTTCCTGAGCATCGCCTATACGCCTGATACCCCTAGGTGCAGATCCTTGCCCCCAAGAAGCGTTCCGGGTTTTGCCTCGGTGAGTGTTTTTGAACCTCCGGCACGGCTCTGACAGCCAGGCAGCAGCCCCGTCTGCAGCGGACAGGCCCCTCTGCAGAGGCGCCTGAGGGGAGTCGCCCCACCGGCCGGGCAGGAGGGTCCCTGGCTTGTGTCCTGGCTGGAGCTGGTGACCTTGGTAATCCCTGTCCCCAGGCGTCAGCAGTCTCTGAGGTCGCATCCAGCTCCGGGATTCTGGGAGGCAGCATCTGACCCATGGATGCCGAACCCCTCCCTACCTGAGCACACAGGGGGGGTCTCCCACCGCCGGAAAATCTCTGGTTTTGACAGTCAGTCTAAGGCTATTTTCTGAGTCATAAGCCACATAGACATGAACACTGTTGGTGCAACTGTTGGTTTAACAGCTGAAGTAATTTATGATGAAACAGAATAAAATGAGGTTCCAATGCAGCAGACGTGTTTGAGGGTGGGTGCAAGGTAGGACTTCCCACGCGTGACTGGTAAGTGCTGAGAGGTCAGGCCTCAGGCTCTGGCATGGCCTTCCCTGGGGTCCTGGAGGGGCTCAGGCCCGCCGCACCCCTGCTGTCACCCATGCCGGGAAAAGTATCACAGAGGAGCCGCTTAGTCATGCACCCAATGACGTCTCGGAAACTATTCTTTTAAATATGCTGATTGCCATGCCCACTGCCTATGGAAAACTTGGTTTCTGCGGCAGAAATAAATGCACCGAGGTAATTTTTAACCCGTTTCCTCTCTCTCCCCCCCGCCCCTCGCCCCCGCCTTCATTAGGACTGCGGCGGGCGCCTGAGCCAGCGCGGCAGCCACCCGGGGCCATGGCCAGCACGGCCGTGCAGCTGCTGGGCTTCCTGCTCAGCTTCCTGGGCCTGGTGGGCACGCTCATCACCACCATCCTGCCGCACTGGCGCAGGACGGCGCACGTGGGCACCAACATCCTGACGGCCGTGTCCTACCTGAAGGGGCTGTGGATGGAGTGCGTGTGGCACAGCACGGGCATCTACCAGTGCCAGATCTACCGCTCGCTGCTGGCGCTGCCCAGCGACCTGCAGGCGGCGCGCGCGCTCATGGTCATCTCCTGCCTGCTGTCGGGCGCCGCCTGCGCCTGCGCCGTCGTCGGCATGAAGTGCACGCGCTGCGCCAAGGGCACGCCGGCCAAGGCCACGTTCGCCGTGCTGGGCGGCGCGCTCTTCATCCTGGCCGGCCTGCTCTGCATGGTGGCCGTCTCCTGGACCACCAACGACGTGGTGCAGAACTTCTACAACCCGCTGCTGCCCAGCAGCATGAAGTACGAGATCGGGCAGGCCCTGTACCTCGGCTTCATCTCCTCGTCCCTGTCAATCATCGGCGGAACCCTGCTCTGCCTGTCCTGCCAGGACGAGGCGCCCTCCAGGCCCTACCCGGCCCCGCCCAGGGCCACCACGGCGACGGTCACCGCACCCTCCTACCGGCCACCCGCTGCCTACAAGGACAACCGGGCCCCCTCGGTCGTCTCGGCCACGCACAGCGGGTACAGGCTAAGCGACTACGTGTGAGTCCCGGGGCCTGTCCCTCCCCGAGCTTGGAGAGGCACCAGGACCCAGGACGCTGGCCCGAAGTTTACTCCTGGGCTGCTTCTGTGCCCAAAAGAAGAAGGTGAACCTGAGGAAATGGGCTTAGCACACAGGGAACTAGGGAAAATAAGAGGAGAGAAGCTCTATATACCAAAGACTAAAAAACAAACAAAAAAACCTTTCTTTTTTTGTATTTATTTTATGTATTTATGTGGGCGATTTAAGAACAGCTGAATTGAAAGCAAATTGGGAGTTGGGTCAGTGGGATTTGTTGCGATACAGGAATAAACCTTTCGGATGTGGTTGTTCATGAAGTGAATGGTGTTCGTTTCTGCTTCCGGACTGTTACTCTATCTGCTCAGGCGCTGGCGACCATGGCTCCGCGTGGCAGAGCTCTGGAGCCCCTCGGGGGGTGGCCAGGACCCCGCAGGACAGGACGGCCAGAGGAGGGCTGGGCCACGCCCATCCAAAAGAGGCTTGGGTAACCCCACCCTCACCAGGTGCCCTAGGCTGGCTTACACCTGGAGGCAGGCCAGGAAGCACAGGCTTCCCAGGGACGCAGGTAACTGTCATAAATCACAAAGTAAAGACACAGCCATTTTCTGCAGGTAGCAGTGGGCGCCCACCCGTAAGGAAGCAAGTCAGAAGGCGAGGGCGACGAGGCGAAATCTGCCTGGCTGCCTGGCTTCCCGGCTTTCCAGGCACCGGCAGGGAGCCAGCCAGGAGCGCTGCTCACTCCCACGGGCCCCCGCAGGATGTCCCTGGCTCCTTTCCTGGGGACAGAAGCTGGATGGCAGCCATCAGGAGAACAGGGGCGCGAGTCTGTCGACTGTCCCATCAGCAGAAAGACGGCCGGGAGGGCCAGGTGAGGCCTGGCTGCTTTAAGAGTCCTGACGATGCTTTCTGCCTGTGGTCTGACTCACCGGCCGGGACAGCTGTGCATGATCACGTGTGCACACACATACAACACGTGTGCGCACACACCCGTGCTGTGCCCTGATGGGGCCCCGCTCATGCCTCTGTCCCGAGCCCCAAGCCCTGGCTGTGGAAGGAAACACCCTGCTCTGTGGAAGGGCTGAGTCTGAGACCCACGCAGAGAACGGCAGGTGCATGAAACCCCCACATCCTCAACGACATTAAAGAGCGGGGTTTAAGGAACAGTCCTGAACACATTTCTGTTCTATTTCCTGCTGACCTCTGTTTGGGGGAGGGGGTGCTGTGCGTTTTAGCTTTAATCTGGACACACAGAAGGTTTGAGAGCGGGGATCTGCTATCCCGGTTAGGCTTTGAATTTGGATTAGGAAGATCACCCTTTATTTATGATGAAACAAGCAATTTGAACCTATTGTTTAAATTGTAAAAACACATCTGAATCAATAAAAAAGAAATAAAATCTTCTAAAAATTGAATGATGTTCTGTCAGTCATACCTTGATGCTCACAATTTAGAATGTTTAGTGAAGTTATTCTAGTTAATAGATCTATTACAAATTAAAGAAAAAATAAAATAGCTTTTTTCAAACTCTCTCTGAATTCTATCACTACTAAAATAAAATACCCCTTTCTCCTACTCAGGTGAAAGACGAACAATTATGACTACAATTTACTGAGTACCTACTCTGTGCGAGACATACTTTTTGTTTACTCATTTGGTCCAATGAGAAACATGAGAACCCAAAGAGACAAATGCTATTTTTTACCCAGTTAGACAAAGAAGACAATTTAAAGCACAAAGAGATTATTTGCCAGGGTCACAGAGCTCGTGAGTCAAAGACCCAGGACTCAAACCCAGACAGGCAAGCAGGGGGCAAACACGTTACCTGAAATAGAGCGATGACCTGTAGTCTCTTTACTTTTATGCCTAGACTATTTCCAAATGATTAAGTGGGTTATTTATGGCCACATTTGGTTCTTCCCAGAACCATCACTCCATTGAGCTACAGTTAGCCCAGCTCTGGTTGGATTGGATGGCGCATGATACCAGACCCAGGGGTCCAAGTTTGAATCCGGACAGCCAGCAGGAAATGACACACAGACAGCTCTGTCCTACAGCTAGTTAACCAATCAGGAAGTAGATCCAGATAAGACCCTGACTGCCTCCCCCAAGCCGCAGGGTATAAGAACGTTCCCAGCTTCCGCTTGCTGTTGGGCCCGCGTCCAGGCCTGGGACGGGCACCTGGGGTCCTCCGAGCCCCTCGCTTGCCACGTCACCCCCCGGGCCATCGAGTAGTCGCCTGTTGCTGCCCAAGTGCTCAGGATGAGGCAGCTTGAGCCAAGGCTGTCTTGACAAAAGCGTGGGCTCCTTTTGAAGGTTTGACATGCAGCCCGAAACCTCAGCGGAGGGGGGATGCGTGAGTCAGGCTCTGATGTTTCCCAGGAAACCGCTGTCATGGATGTCAATTACAACACGATCCTCGTGGGACAAAAGATGCTCTATTTTTTTTGCTTCTTTTAAATCCAACCCGGCTCGGATGTGGCGACGTCTAAAGCCTGTCATATTTCTTTTTCCGTCTACCTGCATTTGGGAGGCCCCGGGGTCCCTGGACTTGGGGAAGGGGTGAAGCCCTGTATTTAGTCCTTGGGGGCACCCCAGTGACCCCCGCTGACAGCCTGGTGCCAGTGCCGTCACAGCCCAGGGAGCCCCCACAGCCATCCGTCCCCACGGCCGCCCATGGCAGCCCCAGCCCCTCTCTGGCCCCGTGGGTGAGTAGGCACTGGAACCTTCCACCCTGTGAAACCCTGGGCAAAATAACCTTTGTCCCACTTCCCGAGAGGGAGCACCGCCCCTCCTAGACTCAAAGGACCTGAGCATCTCCCCTCATGGACAACCGTCCTAATTGCTTTCAGGGGCTTATCCACCTGAAGTCGAGGCCTCAGAAACCCCCCAGAGAACCCTGCTTTCAGGTCAGCCGCTCCCCAGCACACTTGCAATTTGCATACTAGCCGTCCGTCACTTGACAGCACTAGACTGAAGAAGTGGCGCCAGGATTTGTACCCGCAATGTCTGGCCCCGAAGCCCCACGCCTGGCCACAGTGCCACCTGGCGTCTCCTGGCCTTGAAGTCTCTCTGCTTTCTCACCGCCAGGCAGTGTCCGTTGGGGCAAGAGATGGGGGTCTGGGCCAGGCGGCCGCTGTGGAGGGGAGAAGGGATCGGGATTAGTCCGAAGGCAGACCTGGTAGGATTGACTGATGGTTTCCTTGTGCGTGTGGGAGAAAGAAAGAGCCTTAAAGGATGATGCCAAGGTTTGGGGCTGGACCAACTAGAAAAATGGAGTTACCATTTTCTGAAATGAAGAAAACTCTGGAAAGAAGAGGTCCCGATCTTCTAAGGTAGTTTGCTTGTTTTACATGTTTGGCCTCAGCTGTCTCAAGGGAAGATGTCAGGTGGCTCTCTAAATGCGTAGGCTCGAGTGCAGGGGGAGGTCGACTTGGGAGCCATCAGCCCAGGAATCTCCTCGAAGCCATGAGCTAGGAAAGGTCACGCCGGAAGCGAACACAGAGGAGGGATGCAAGGGGCCGATGGCGGGGCTGGTGCCTGCAGAGGTTCCCAGTCACAAGGGGGGCCGGGGGGTTGGGAGGGTGGTTGTAGTGGTGAAGCAGGCAGACGAAGAACGCGCCCTGAGCGAGGACAACGGAAAGGAGAGCTGTTCCCTGAAGCCCAGGGAAGGGCCCCTTCGCAGCGCTGAATTACGCCCTGCAAGCTGCACAGCGACTAGGAGGTGCGCACGATGGCTGCCTTCACTCCGCAGGTGAGGAAACGGGGCTTGAAAAGTGAAGAAACTTTCTGAGGACTTCCAAACGGGAGAGCCTAGTCTGGAGAACGCAAAACTGAGATTCAAACGTTCTTGTTTCCTGTTCATAAGAGCATGACAGCCATTTAAGAATACACATGTTTAGCCCTGGCTGGTGTGGCTCAGTGGACTGAGCACCAGCCTGCAAAGCAAAGGGTCGCTGGTTCGAGTCCCTGTCAGGGCACATGTCGGGGTTGTGGGCTGGGTCCCCAGCTGGTGGTGCACAGGAGGCAACCACACATCGATGTTCCTCTCCCTCTCTTTCTCCCTCCCTTCCCCTCTGCCTAAAAATAAATAAATAACATCTTTTAAAAATATATAAATAAATAAGCATGCTCCACCCTGGCCAAGGTGGCTAAGTGGGTTGGAGCATCGTGCCGTAAACCAAAAGGTTGCGGGTTCAATTCCTGGTCAGGGCACACGCCTGAGTTGCAGGTTCAACCTCCAGTTGGGGTGCGTGCAAGGGGCAACTGATTGATGCTTCTCTCTCACATCGATATTTCTCTTCCTCTCTCTCCCTTCCTTCCCCTCTCTCTAAAATCAATAAGCATGTCCTCAGGTGAGGATTAAAAAATATACTTTTTTATTTTTTAATATAAATATATGTACATGTTTCCCCTCTTTCCTCATGAGGGCTGGGCACACCTGGGCATGGCTTCCTCCCCAGGTAACAGAACAGAGTCTTCTCACCAGGCTTCTAGCAGCCCTAGGGCCATCTGTGATTGGAGACTCCACCTCCGTTCAATAGTTTTACATATAAAGAAAAAAATAAATACATAAGATTTCAAAAGAATACCAGCGATATTGAAATATGTTATCAAGATATTTAAAGAGTACAACATAGTAATATTTGTGCTCCTTTATTAATACAGTCAATGACAATATCCAGCAGGGGGTCTAATAAATACTACAGTTTTAAAGCAATGAGAAGCGTAAATGACCGCTTAAATCTGCAACAACTATAATCTAATGTGAAAATATTTGTGATTTCCAATAGCGATAAAGTCCCAAGGTCTAAAATACCCCCCGCAAGTACAGGAACTTGCTCAGGTGAGTTGAAGTCACACTAAAAGCCCCTTTACTTCAATGGAGTAGACAGCATTCTGTTCTAAAGTTGTGCACCATAAATTTGTATAATGTCCTTAACCAATGTTACCCTAATAGAGCTGATTTTAAAAACACCTTCTTTTGA